GGGCGGGCCGTGGCCCGCAAGCCCGCCGCCCCGCCGCCGCTCACCTCGCCACCAGTACGTCTTGGACAGGTCGTGCCAGGTCTGATGCCGGGTGTGGTGAGTGCCCCCGGGGCCCAGGTGGGCCGCCTCTATGAGGCCCTGGCGCCGCTCCGGCTGCAGCACGACCTCCAACTCCGCAAAGGTCTTGCGGTGCCGCTGCCGCCGCTGGTAGTACAGGGTCCCGCCGCGCACCACATAGCAGGCAGCAGCCTTGCGGATTTTCCGCTTGACATTGCCCTCGGTGCCCGGCGCGTATGGCTCCCGTTCGTTCGTCAGATAGCGCAGGATGGCCCGATAGCTTTCCTCGCTTGACATCGCCGGTGGCAGCGCCCTGAGGGGCGCCTGTCAGCGGCCGGGAAAGGCAGACAGCGCTCCGGCTCCGTCTAGATGCAACGGCAGTGGCGACAGCGCAAGGAGCAACGCCCACGCCTGTGGTGGGCGCTCCCTGAGGGCGCCCGCGGCTCCAAGGGAGAACCGACGACTCGGTAACCAGGGGGAACTGCACTTCTGCAGCGCGCGGGATCCGCTGGCCACTGACAAAATGGCTGCTGCACCACCGGAAGTGACGCGCGTGCGGGGCGGGGCCTGGGGCCCGATTGGAGCGCTCTTGGTTTCTGGCTCTGAGGGAGCCGGCGAAGTGACGTCAATACTGCGGGAGGACATTTTGGAAGAGGGTACGCTCCTTCTGGCAGATGCGAGGGTCTTCGGCAGACATCTTAAGTCCTGGCAGGTTTTTTTTTTCCCCTTTTCCCACGCTCTCTAAAAAACCACGTGTTTGAACTGTTCAGTGTTTGTTGCCCCAGCAGAGGGACCACCCCCCCTCAAAGAGTAAAGGAGACTGTTTTCCTGTTTACTTTGACACTCGATATACTGGATTCCGCCAATTTTGAAATTAGAAATCGCTTGCCACTATCTGGGTTATGGGCAAAAATAGTTGCAGTATTATCAAGCATCAAGTGTCTCAATGTTATGAATTATCCTCTTAGAACTACCTCCAAACTCCAAGTAAGATTTTTCTAGAATCATCATCGTGGTGACGACTGTGCAGGCCCAGATTATTTAGATGGCTCTGCGGTTAAGAGCACTCGCAGCTCAAACTGTAACTGAAGTCCCAGAGGATCTGACACCTTCACACCATGCACATAAAATTAAATAAACTATTTAAAATTAACATGGACAGGCAACTTGGATTACCTAAATTCCTTGTCGCAGTATGCTGTTCTTTTGGAATGATGGGACACTTGGTGCGCTTCGCTAAACTTTAAGTTCCAGGCTTCCCCAACCCATGGGCTTTGACTGAAAATACAATTAACTTTTTTCGTACTGAAGCATAGAGATCTCGGAGGGTTTTAGGCTACTGTCGGTGAGGAGCAAGCAGATGGCTGTGCCCTCAGGAGGAAGGGATTAGGGTTTCTCCTACCATAATGGAAATGAAGAGCATCCTTCCCTAGCCCATAAGGGTGATGCAGATATCCAAACCCATGTAAGGATTTTGGTCTGTACTGAATGTGACCTCACGATTCTAATACTACTTTAAAAATATTAACAAGATTTTTTAATAAAACCTTGAGAATACAGGGAACATGAGGTAGTAAGTCCAACTAAGAAAACCCAATTAACTTACTTTTTGAAGTCATTAGTAAGTATCTGGAGGTAACAGGAAATGTTATTAGTACTTTTTCTTGGTGATCCATCCAGTTTTCTTCCTAAGTCAAGCTTTATTTAACCTTGTGTTTATTTCTAGCTCTTTGTGGTCCACCTGTGCCATAAGTCAACTGTCTTCAGAGATTGTCCTGTTCAATTATGTCCTTGCGAGGATCATGTGATAAGACTATTTTTTACACAAATTAATGGATTTTTAGGGGAAAGATTGTTATACTAGGCTGGTCCCCAACCGTTAACAATCCTACCACAGACTCTTGAATGCTGAAATTAAAGACTGCATCTGCTTCACTTTTGTACACACCTACAACTGGGAGCTCAGTTGGAAAGGTGTCAGTTGACAGGGTCTCATGTACTCCAGGCTTGACTCATTCATTGTATGGCCAAGGTGACCTTGAACTTCTAAAAAAAATTAAAATTTGATAGCTTTATTACTCCTAGTTTAAGAAACAAGTACAGTATTCCATACTTAAGCAACACTGAGCTGGGTGCTGATAGCACAGGCCCTTAATGCTAACATTTGGGAGGCAGAGGTAGGCATGTCTATGCAGTTGAGGCCAGCCTGGTCTAGAGTTCCAAGGTTGCCAGAAATACAAAAAAATCGTTTCCAAAACCAAAAAATCAAAGGCTAAACATGGCAGCGAACTGTAATTCAAATACTCCAGTAGGAAAATTACTGAGCTGGAGGCCAGAGTAGGCAATATGTCTCTTAACCTTTGTCAAAAGAACACAGGTGGGTGTGGTGGCACCTGACTTTAAATCCCAGCACCTAAAGAGATAGTAGTAGGTGAACTGGGAACCTTGGACAGCCAGAGCCAGACATCTCAACAGCTGGATGTATAGGTGGTGCACTGCTATGTTTAATCCTAATAAGACAATCTGGAGCTTCCAGCAGTCTACAAAGTACAAAAGGCAGCAGTAGTTTTCACTGCTCATCATAGGAACCGATTAATAATCTTAAACTCCTTAGAGCCGAGGATAGCTGAAGCACTAGTCAATAGAAGGCAAACCCAATATAATTCTTTCACTAACAAAAGGTAGTGAATTTTACCAATCTAGATTAAAGTAATATGCCTTTAATGCTTCCCCATATGCAAGTGACTGGGTTTGATCCCTAGCACTGCAAGGAAACCCTACATGGGGGGAGGGGGTAGTGAGTTAGGAAGTTTCATGGACTCAGGTGATGGTGGTGCATGCCTTTAATCCTAGGAATTGGGAGGCAAAGGCAGGTGGATCCTTTGAGTTAGAGGTCAGCCTGTCTTGTACAAACAGGTTCCAGGACAGAGAAACCCTGTCTCGAAAAAACCAAAATACACCAAGAGGTTTCATGGTGTCTGGCCTTGAATTGTTTTCATGTGTCTCACATGCCGGGATCATAGCTGTGCTCCAGACACAGCTCACACCGTATCATTTTGCTTGCCATCTCTTCAACTAACGATATATTAGGCTTTATTGCTGAGATAAAAAATATTTTTAAAGTTTTCCAGACAGTCTCATTATGTAATTCTGGCTGTCTTGGAACTCAGAGATCCACTTACTTGTCTCTACCTCCTGAGTTTAAAAGTGTGCAACACAGAGAGCATGGCCAGTAAAAAAAAGATAAACATTTTTAGCTGGAGATTGAACGTTAGGAACTCGGGCAACCTAAACATACAATCTGTGGCTAAGCCACCCTCCCCCCATACAACATGTTTTATGAAAGGGAAAAGAAAATCCAATGCCACCTAGAGTTTGAAATAGACTTTATTCAAAACTTTGATCTATGAACTACCAAGTTAGCGTTTTCCACCAACTCGGGGAGCAGAGACCTTCACAGGCTTCACAATCTTTTGTTTAGGTGCTGCTTTTGTAGGGGCCTGTAAAAAGACAACAGGGCATTATTCCATGGAATCTTGTCACTTTGTCCTTTTGGTTGAGATTCTTTACATACCCTTCACTGTCTTAGTACTGGGACTTGAGTCTCACACTACTTAACTACAGTCATTTAAGTATGATGCATTTAATTTCTCTTCGGTAGGACACACCAGAGCACAACACATGTAGAGCTCAGACTTGAAAATTAGCTCTCCTACTACCACAGGGTCCTCACTTTACCCATTGAGTAATCTTGTTGACCCAGAATGATCATTTTTTAAACATTTTTATTATGCTTGAGGGCTCAGGGTCTTGCATGACACGTGTGCAAGTCAGTACAACTCAGTGTTGGTTCTTTCCTTTCACCTTGTGTACCCAGGGATAAATTAGGGTTGGCAGCAAGTGCGTTTACTGGCAGAGCCATCTTGCCCACTCAAGAATAAAAAACTGTTAACTTTCTGGCTTTAAATTTTTTTAAACACTAGAAAAAGCTGGGTAAACGCGTACTGTTGTACAGATTTTCAAAGTGAAAAATTACTTCAAAACACAAAAGTCAAGCAGGGTACAAGGAACCATACCCATAATCCATCTAGGCAGCAGGACTATCCTTAAATTGAGACAAGTCTTGTTCAGGCCGGCCTCAGTTATAGCAACACATCTCAGAAAACAGAAACCCACCAAAAACAAAACAAAATCATCTTATTTTCCCTTTTTTAAGGCACCTAAAATTAAGACTCACTAAAAAGCTGAGATATAACCACTGACTTGGAAATTAGCTACAACCATTTCCAATAGAAACTTGCACCTGTCATTTACTAACCCTTGTATTAAACATGAAGTTTCCTATTGTAAGAAACCCAAGACCCCAGTTACCTTGGCAGCAGCCATTGCAGTCTTCTTGGATGCCTGTTTAGCCTTTTTTGCTTCCTTGGCGGCCCTGTGGTGAGTATCATAAGCAACATTAAGCCAAAGACTTTTACTCTTTAAGGCTCGATTGTACAACCTTTGAGGCCAAGACAGGAAGATCTTAAACCCAAGGTTTAGTGGGGCTTCACTAGAGAGCTTGGCAAAGAACCCAACAAAAAGCAGACCCCAAGAGTTGTCAATAAATTCCATTACCCAAGTCTTCTTAACGTAAAAATTGTGCGTACTGAGGTTTAACAAATTATAGAGTACAGGCCTGCATTATGCTTCTGAAACTGACAGTCCCATGAAACTAGGTTCCTATAGTAGAAAAATCATCTGGTCACCCAATAGCTGCAGTGTCAGAGTGGAGCATTCCTCACCTGATGGCCTGCTCTCGCTGGGCTTTCCTAACTTCTGGTTTTTGGTTCCTCTTGGCCATTATATCAGCAAGGGATGCACCAGTGATGGCCCGCTGGAATTTGACTGCACGGCGGGTTCTTTTCTTTTGAATTTCTTCCTACAAAGCAAAGACTGGTTGATCAACCTGACTCAATAACTTCTGGAAATGTAAAAAGAACTTTCCTGTGTGTGTGTGTGTGTATATATATATATATGTGTGTGTGTGTGTGTGTGTGTTTGAGACAGATTTCTCTGTATAATCCTGCTATACCCTTGGTGCTGAGATTAGGTATGTACCACTATGCTTAGCCCCTTGGTCAAAGAGCTCTTAAATTTTATACTCAAGTTAATTCATGCCAATTCCATGAAATAAACATTGCTTTCCAGGTTATAAATTGTTTTAACCTTGTATCACAAATCGTGTTCTCTTTTGCTACTGAAAAAGGACAAAAAATTATTCAATTTTCAGGAAGAAAGGTTCTCTTCAGGAGTCAGATGGCACTTTTTAAAATGATTGTAGGCCCACATTGGAGTACTGGACTGAGCTCCCAAGGTCCAAATAAGGAGGAGGGAGAACATGAACAAGGAAGTCAGGACCACTGAGACGGTGGGACTGATCTAATGGAAGCTCACCAAGGCCAGCTGGACTGGGAGTGATGGAGCATGTGATCAAACCAGATTCTCTGAATGTGGCTCTCAATGAGGGCTGACTGAGAAGTCAAGGACAATGGCACTGGGTTTTGATTCTACTGCATGGACTGACTTTGTGGGAGCCTGGTTTGTTTGGATGCTCACCTTTATATACCTGGATGGAGGGGGGAGGACCCTGGACTTCCCACGGGGCAGGGAACCCTGACTGCTCTTAGGACTAGAGAGGGAAGGGGAGGGAAAAGGGAGGCAGGGAGGTGGAAATTTTTAATAAATAAATAAATTAAAAAAATAAAATTATTGTAGAGGCTAGAGAAATGGCTCATCAGGTAAGAACACTGGTTGCTCTGGCAGCAGACTCAGGTTCAGTTCCCAGCACTAGATGGTGGTTCAAAACCACCTGTAATTCAGTGCCAGGGCCCTGACATTACCTCCTGACTTCTGCAGCATCCAGCACAGGCATGATGCATGTGCACGCATGCAAACAAACATTCACACATATAAAATAAGTCTATAAAGGCTATTATAAAAATTATTTTAAAGCCAGGCAGTGGTGGCGTAAGCCTTTAACCCCAGGATCTCAGAGGCAGGTGGAGTTCGAGGCCAGCCTGGTCTACAAGAGCTAGTTCCAGGACAGGCTCCAAAACTACAGTAAAACCCTGTCTCAAAAAACGAAAAATAAATAAAATAATTTTAACAAGACTGTTTATAGTCTACCTATAAAAAGGGCTTAGGAAGAGAATACTAAAAACCCACCAAGCTTTAGTATCCAGGACCCCAACGCCTGCTGTAGATTCTATACTAGAAATCTGTATCATGTATCATAGCTATTATGAAAAACAAGTTCTCATTGTGTAGCCCAGCAGTGGTGGCACAGGCTTTTAATCTCTCAGGGTTTGAGGCCAGCCTGGACTACATAGTGAGTTCCAGGACAGCCAGAGCTTCACAGGGAAACCCTGTCTTGAAAAATAAAAAAAATAATAATAATAATTTCGTTTCAAAGATTTAATCTTACAGTCAAAATTTGTTTCATCATTTCTTATCCGAAATCCTTAAAACAATTCTCCATTCCATTACCCTCTCCTTACATTTCATTCTTTATTAGCCTGCCCATTCTAGGCACCTCATTAAAGTGAAACCATGGAATTATCCTTTTTCCTAGCCCAGCTCAACGTTTAATCTAGCCCACCCAAGACCATTAGAAAACAGATACTTATAATTCTTAAAAGTAGCAAGAAACTTAGTTATAAAGGAAGCTTGGGAACTTAGCCTATTTCTTCAAACTATCTTTGGGTTTCTTCAAAGCAGGCTGTTCTTCACTCTTTAAAAGGTTAAATATCCCACTGCATATATATCTATGGCTGAACATTCCTAACCAAAATACCTGCCCCTCCACCCAATAGGGGGGGGGTGTTGAGCAACCACCACAAACGGGAAATTTCACTGCTAAGTTCATGTGAGGGTTTGTCAACAAATTACAGGTCTGGGAATACTTTTTTTTTTTTAAAGAAAGAAGAGAACGGAGGAAGGAATGAAGCAAGAACATGTTCAGGCTAGAAGAGGACTAGAACTATTTCCATCACCCAACTATCTTTTAAGAACCCTAAACTAAAGCAAGCTGTAGCTGCACTAGTCTTTAATCACAGCACTCAGGAGGCGAGGCACAAGTTTCAGGACAGCCAGGGCAAGACAGATCCTGCCTCGAAAAAACAAACAAAGTACCCCCATAATAGCAAACTTTCTAGCTTCAAGCATTCAATCTGTAGCACCCAGCATCTATTTTGGAGATAAGGGTTTTAGTTTGCAGCCTTGACTGGCCTCAAAGTCCATTCTCCTGCCTCAGCCTTCCACGAGCTCAATAGCAAATTTTGAGTACTTGCTTTCGATACTTAGAATGTAACTGCCAGTTGTTAGAATTTTTTAAATTTAACATTTCATCAGCCTGGTCTACAGAGTTCCAGAAAAAAAAAGTCTCAAAAAACAAAACAAAATTAACATTTTGAGTTAAAGCAAAACGTTTGTCAAGGCAATTGTCATTCCACTTTATCAGGACACTAAGATTCATGTTTCTCTAAACCCGCACCAACACCAAAGAGATCTAGTAAATGAAATTAGAAATGAATCCTTCCACTAACTGTGCATTCTGCTTTGGGAAACAAAGTTTGCTTAGGTTGCCCTTGAACCTCTTGCTTCCACCCTGAAACACTGAGATTTTAAGAGTGGTCCACCATCCCCGTGTAATGTATGTCACAGCCAGTGCTATTTATGTACTGTAACATAGCTAAAGCTAGCCAAGCCTCCTGACTACCCACACCTCTACCCATTGCCAACACCATACATCCTAAGGGCCTCTACAATGAAACTTGCAGAGGGGATCCTTTCAACAAAGGGCCCTAAGACTATGGTATTCAAGGTGACATCTAGTTCTGTGATTTCTGTCACTTGTTTGATGCTTTCAATTTTAAGTCTTATTTAATCAAGATTTAACATGGCAAAATCTGACAGCGCAATTTTAAGAGGCTAGCAAGCTGTAAGCCACTTACCGACTGTCCTTTTTTGTGTTTCCTTCTGTACAGGACAGTCCAGTTTATCTGCCGGGGATTCCTTTTGGACAGGAACGCGGACTCGCATTTTGCATTAAGAAACTGGAAAACCTGAGGTTAACAAATCCATAAACCAGTCACTCCTTTTATACAAAGTATAAGACGCTGAAATTGAAAAATCCTCACATGATTTTTGGTCTAGTTTTTTTCGTCTTGACTGTGACACAAGTGACAAGTAACAAGGTGGCATCATCTTTTCTCAAGAGCAGGGGAACCTACACTCGTCTCAAAATTTGTCGTCTGATGGCGTCAAATTTTGAGAAAATCTAGCTTTTAGCTCTTTCAGACTCAAAAAGATGTGCAGCCCAGCTCCGAGTCCTGGCCATTTCCCTTTATGGCTATTAGTTAGTTACACAGACCGGTCACTTCCCGCCTGGTTCACGCACCATCTGTTTCCCACCCGACACGTGGCCCGCTCGGGGTGCTCCCCAAGCCAGCCGACCGTCCTTTCACTCCCCCGGCCCAGCCGGCTTTTTACCTTTCCGTCGGTCCTGGCGTAACGCCGTCCGTGTCCGGGGTAGATCTTGTACCCACTGAAACTGCACAGCTCGACCCTGGAAGGAAAACCCAAAGCCCGTTAGGGTGTGTACCGCAAAGAAAAGCCATCCCCAGGCGCTCTGCCGCAGGATGGAGGCGGATTGAGATAAACTAAGATCGCTTACTTCATGATGAGAGCTGCCGCCCGGCCGGAGGAAAGATGGCGAAGAGAAAGAAAGAATCATGGGAAAACCCCTTATAGGGCAGGGGAAGAGAATCTCCTCCCTAAATTCCCTTTCTTAGCCCCGGCGCCTTGCGATGATGTCACTTCCGGGAGCCGGGTATGGGTTTCCTAGCAACAGCTTTCTACCGAAATTACTGACAGATACTGACCTCCAAAGGTTCTGTTGGGCCCGAAGAGGTGGCCGTCAAAAAGATAGGCTTGGCTTTGGTCCTGTGCCGTTCCATTCCCCGCAGGCAAGTGTTCTAGAATCTAGAGCCGACCTTTTGCAGGGAGCATGGACAAAAGACAAGCGTATTACACGTGTCTTTTCACTTCTCATGAAGACCGCAGACGAGTATTTCTCAGGTAAAACCTGACGTCACACTATGCCTTTACCTTTGAAATAAAATTAAATCGTATAGCTGACAATATGGTCCAGAAATAGTGCGAGTGGCTCCCGAAACCCTGAGTTAAATCTCGATCTTCGGGACCTGGAGAGATGGCTGACGCAGAGGTTAAGAGCATTGGCAGCTCTTCCGGAGGTCCTGAGTTCAATTCCTAGGGATCTATGCCCTCTTCTGGTATGCAGGTGTACATGCAGATGGCGCGCTCGTATATAAAGTAAATAAATCTTTAAAAAAAAAAAATCCCTTTAAAAAAAATTTTCAACTTCTGAAAAAAAAAAAAAGTTTTAGCCTGACACGGTGGCGCAAGGTTTTTAATCCCAGCTATTTGGGAGGCCCTCTCGCAGGCTGGTCTGCATAGCAAGACAGTGCCCAGACTACATCTATTGCTACTACTGTATTAAAAACTAAAACTAGTCAGGCAGTGGTAGCGACACCTTTAATCCAAGCACTCAGGAGAATTAAAGAGTTAAAGATTAAGAGACAAGTGGATTCCTGTGAGTTCGAGGTCTGCCTGGTCTACAGAGCGAGTTCCGGGATAAGCCCTAAAGATACAGAGAAAACCAAAAATGAATAAATTAATAAAGTAAAAATAATTAACCACTTGTTTAAATATGCCCGTGAGCGTATAATACCAGCACTCAGGAACTAAGACAAATTGCAACAAGTCTCGCGTGTACTCACACACACACACACACACACACACACACACACACAAAGCTAGTTTTTTTTTCTGTTTTCTTTCTTTCTTTTTTTTTTAAAAGATTTATTTATTTATGTTTACAGTATTCTACCTGCATACCAGATCTCACTATAGATGGTTGTGAGCCACCATGTGGTTGCTGGGAATTGAACTCGGGACCTCTGGAAGAGCAGCCAGTGCTCTTAATCGCTGAGCCATCTCTCTAGCCCCTTTTCTTTCTTTTTTGCTATTTAAGAAATGCTATTTTAAGTGGCTGGAGAGATGATTCAGCAGTTAAGAGCACTGGCTGCTCTTCCAGAGGTCCCGAGTTCAATTCCCAGCATCCACATGGCAGCTCACAACTCTCTGTAACGCCAGTTCCAGGGGATCTGGCACCAGCACATAGACATACATGCAGGCAAAACATTAATGCACATAAAAGTAAAGAAATCTGTGTGTGTGTGTGTGTGTGTGTGTGTGTGTGTGTGAGAGAGAGAGAGAGAGAGAGAGAGAGAGAGAGAGAGAAGCTATTTTGCCCTGGAAACATGGCTCGGCAGTTAAGAGCACTTGTGCTAGCAGAGACCTAGTGTTTGAATCCCAGCATCCACATGGTGACTCACGACCATCTGTAATTCCAGTTCCAGGGACTCTAGCTCTGTCTAATGACCTCCAGTGGTACCCCTCTGACACATGGCACATGTACATACATTCAAAATATTCAGATACATAAAATAAGATGAATAAATCTAAAAAAATATTTTAATTAAATAACTATTTTAGTTGGGCAGTGGTGGTGCATACCTTTGATTCCAGTTCTCAGGAGGCAAAAGCAGGCAGATCTCTATGAGTTCAAAGTCAGCCTTGTCTCCAGAGCAAATTCCCGGACAGCCAGGGCAACACAGAGAAACTTTGTCTCAAAAAACAAGCAAGCAAACAAAAAAGCTATTGTAAAAATTTCCTGGGCAGGTGGTGCTGGTGTACATCTTAATCCCAGCACTCTGGAGGCTGAGGCAGCCAGGTGTCTGTGAGTTCAAGGCCAACCTGGTCTACAAAGCTAGTTCCAGAACAGCCAGAATACATACATAGAAACCCTCTCTTGAAAAAAGTGAGGGAAAAAAAAGTACAAATTGGCAAAGTTGTTTTACCCACCAGGTGACATGCTTGCCTTGTAAACCTGATGACCTGAGTTCAGTCCCAAAACCTACATAAAGGTGGAAGGCAAAAAACAGCTTCTCGTAGTTGTCCTCTAACGTCCTATGCTTGCTGTGTACTGAAGCACAATTAAGTGTGGCTACTTGCACACACAATTAAGGTGCATGTCATTGTGGCTTCCAAGATTAAAGGTGTGTGTTAGCATAACCTGGTCTATAAGGCTGACCAGTAGGATTGTTTTACTCTCACTTCAGGCAGTCTTTATTTATTAAAATACAATTGAAATGCCACTACATTTCCCCTTTTTGTCTAAAATAAAAAAGAAGGCTATAACTAATATAATAAAACTATAAACAATAAATAAATAATGACTATATATACTATATTCAGGCAATAAATACATCAACAATGTTTATTCCATTTGCATTTGACAAATTCAGAGAAAATATATCTATCCTACTTTGGTGCGTCCAAAGTCTTATACCTAATTTACTTTCTATCATAACTTGCTTTGCTAAACTATGACTATCTAATCTTCAACTCCCTCAGAGACCCAAGAAGGAAATAATATTAACTGAATAAGCAGGAAGTACAAACAAGCGACTTCTAGAAAATGTGAATAATGACAGAAACAGCTGAGACAGTCACCAAAAGTTCTGTAACGTTGGGGCATCCATCTTCAGCCACGGGCCTAGCGTGTTCAACAGACTCTTCTGTGATGCAGGATATTTTGTGTACTGCTTGTCTAACTAGGATGGCATTATGTCAGCAATAGAGGCAGGGGCATTTTCTTGCCCAGTGATAGGCTTTCTTTTGCCACAAAGAAAGTAAACGCTATGTGGAGTGTCTTTGATGCCTATTATCTTCTCTGAAGTAGATTGGTGCTGACAATCTACTTCAGATCATTTTCATAAAAAGAACAACCTAGGCTATTAAAACATCTTAAATGTCATATTATTTAGATCTCTGAAGTGTTTAAAGATGACTTATCTATCTAAATTATACCTTTATTTGACCTTGAAAACATATCTAATGTGTCTATAAGTTTGATTATACTAGGTAATTAACTACTAATCTACATTTCTTAATTATCCTAAACAGTTGATGATAATAATTTTCAAGAACTAGAGATTAGTATTACATTGTTAAATGAGCTGTATAGGTACACTACCTGAACAAGGTTAGAAATGTATGTTCAATATGTTGTAACAAAATTAATCTCAAATTTGTATCAATATATAAAATTTGTATACAATATACAAAAATAAAACCAATACAACACATTTAAAACCAATCGTTGCTTTTAAAAAGTAGATTCAATAATCTATATTTCTATCTTATTATATTTATACTTCCTTTTTCTTTTCCTTCTTTTTTTTCTTCTCTCTTTCTTTATTTCTTTTTTTAAGTTTTTGGTTTTTCGAGACAGGGTTTCTCAGTAGCTATGGAGCCCATCCTGGAACTCGCTCTGTAGACCAGGCTGGTCTTGAACTCTCAGGGATCTGCGTGCTTCTTCCTCTTGTGTGCTGGGATTAAAGGCAATCACCACCAACTCCTGGAACCTGGTCATTGCATATCTTTAATTGCACTGGGGAGGCAGAGGCAGGCAGATCTCTGAGAGTTTGAGGTCATCTTGGTTTACAAAATGAGTTCCAGGACAGCCAGAACTGTTACACAGAAACCCTATCTTGAAAAACCAAAATCAACCTAACAAACAAGCAAAAAACAAAATAAACAGTAAAAGATGATAAAACATGAAGTCTAGAATTTGCCTTAAAACTACTTAAGAGGGTTACAGGAAAAGGCTTGTGTGAAGAGCTGGTTGACGAGGAGTGGGTTATTGCCCATGCCACATCTGTCAAAACGAGCCTGTTGTGGTGGAGTATAAGAACAGTGGTTACTACTCATCAAAATCCCATCAAAATTCTTCAAAGACCTCGAAAGAATGGTACTCAACTTCATTTGGAAAAGCAAAAAAAACAAGGATAGCCAAAACAATCCTGTACAATAAAAGAACGTCTGGAGGCATCACAATCCCTGACTTCAAACTCTACTACAGAGCTACAGTGGTGTGGGAGAATTGTCTGTATTCTGTCAATCATATTTTAATAAAACACTGATTGGCCAGGCAGGCAGTATAGGCGGGAAAGCCAGACAGGAAGTAGGGGTGGAGCAAAGAGACTGGGAGTATTCTGGGAAGCAGGAAACTCCCTCCGCCATTCCTGCACAGACCACCAGAGAGGCAACATGTGAGCTGACAACTGAAAAAGGTACTAAGCCATGTGGCTAACATAGGTCAGAATAATGGGTTAAGATAAGTCATAAGAACTAATAAGTAGCCTGATATAATGGGCCAATCAGTTTATAATCTTATAAAGTCTCATGTGTGATTTTCCTTGGGAGTTGCCAGTTGTGGGGTACTGGGCGGGACAGAAACCCCAACAAGCCAGCCCTCATGTTACACTACAGTAATGAAAACAGCCTGGTACTGGCATAAGAACAGACAAGAGGACCAATGGAACCGAATAGAAGACCTGGATATCAACCCACACATCTTCAAACACCTGATCTTTGATAAAGAAGCAAAAAATATCAAATGGAAAAAAAAGCATATTTAACAAGTAGTGCTGGCATAAATGGATATCAACATGTACAAAAATGAAAATAGACCCATATCTATCTCCATGCACAAAACTCAAGTCCAAATGGATCAAAGACCTCAACATAAACTCAGCCACACTGAACCTTATAGAAGAGAAAGTGGGAAGTACACTTGAACGCATTGGCACAGGGAACCACTTCCTAAATATAACCCCAGTAGCATAGACACTGAGAGAAACAATTAATAAATGGGACCTCCTGAAACTGAAAAGCTTCTATAAAGCAAAGGACA